TATTTTGTTACAAACTCAAAATAACAAATTACATAAAAAACTGGCCACAAATAATTGATTCATAGTTTAAAATAATCCAATCATTCAATCAACATATAAAATTTTTCTAGACATCGCTCAACTAAAACATGCAATCAATAACAAGCATGTGAATGATCTAGATAGCTTTGATACCCGTTGTGTGTGTGTGCACCTTCTTTACATTAGTTTCTCTAATGTAAAGACTACACCGGTGTGTGTGCACCTTCTTTCAATTAATCGAGAAACTAATTTTTGAATTTTGGACAACAAGAAAATAAAATATTTTCTTTCTCTTTTTCTCTCTACAAATTTGAGTATTATGGATGTTGTAGTATTTTTCTGTCCATCTAATCTCTATTTATAGAGAAAAAGATGATACAATTCTAGTACAATTATAATTCCACATTCAAACAGGAGTTCTAATTTAAGTCCAATTCTAATTAGTTTACATTTAATTACACGTGTAGTCCTAGAAATTCAATTACAATTACAATTGAGTTTATAACTTTCATAGTAATTACAACCAAGTACAAAACTTTATTGTAATTACAATTAGGCCCAAAACTATTATAATTACCGTAATTAAGTTTCAATACTTTATGGAGCTACTACAGGGACCTGATCGGACATATACTTTTCAAGCTCCAATAATTTGATCCCCTGTCTAGTCAACCCTAGATCACCCAATCGAATTATTAGTCTTTACTCTTTCCACTAAAGGTAAGAGACTGAACTCTCAGAATATATAAAATCACAGAAGCCAATAAATCTATAATACTTTCCTCTGACCTACTGTATATGTATTTTATCCCCGTTCGAGATCCAATAATTAGGTACGAGCATAAACGATCGTTTCGCTCCTCTAGTTATTCTCACTAACTTAAGTTTCATTTTTTTCAACGGTCTAGTGAACAAATCATAGATGTCGAAGTTTAGCGTCGCTAAACACTGAGCTGAGGTTTTAACCGTTCAGTAGAAAATAATTAAGTAGCCACTCTTCCAATTTTCAGGGTGACAGTTCCTGACACGAATTCATGTTCTTTACTCCACTCATTCTCAAGTTCCCAACTCATCGAAATGTTTGACCAATCAAATTGATCTCACTTATTGATGAATCAAAGAGCCATTAAAAATCACGAAAAGATATACATAATTCTGTCAAGGGATTCAGATGAAATACACAGCGGTCAAGTGAAATTTAATTCTCCACACGGTCATGCTATAGAATTAAATTTGACACGTGGTCCATTCAATACACTCCAAGTTTACTAGTATCACCTTTAACTATTTCAGTGATAAGGATAAATCACAAACCCGAATAGTGAATTGGTCAACATTACAACCTTCCAATATAAGGTGCCAACCCTTATGCATTGGTTGTGAACAAATTATTTATGATCAAAATATAAGTTGTGTCTTACTGTACTTCTCAACACAAGTACCCCAACTCATATTATGACAAGCAATCATAGACACTTAAATTTCGCATGCTCAGTAATAAACAAATGCAATAAACAAAGTAAACATAATTTTATTCAATATAAAAAATTATTGATATTTTTAAATCAGCAAAACTATACTATATGGGCACAAAACCCAACAGAAGGCAACTTGGATGACAACCATCCTTTTAGATTTATGCGAACATTGATTTAGAAGTATCGTAGGGGCTCTCACTCCCCTTTTATTCTTTATGATGAAATTGTTAGTTCGATGATAAGACTATTCTTTTATTAAAATTGCAGGGAAATGGCTTGGAAACAGACAAATTCGTTGCGATTGGGCAACAAAAGGTGCCATTTCTGGTTATGACCAGCATAGTTCAGACTCATAAAACATTGTGGAACTAACAAACGGAATATTAGGTTGGTTCTACAACAATAATCATTTGTATAATTTTTCTGCTGAATGTGAATCCAATGTTTTAATTTTACTTTATGTAAACTTTTCAAGATTTGAGTTAGATTATTATTATTATTATTATTATTATTATTATTATTATTATTATTATTATTATTATTATGAATCTTCTGAATTTTTAATAAAACGTACTAGAAAGATGCAAGACATTACAAGTAGAATTTTTTATACGTGCATGCACGTGAAATAGGTCAAACTTCTAAAAGCACGTTTTTATAGGATATGATTTTTGTTAGGATGCGGAAGCAGAATTACTCATAATTTTTTTTTAATTCAATAAATAAGATTGTCTAAATATTCTTGTGTATATTATATCAAGAGTAAAGGTTTATAACTTTTACCTAAATTCGATGGTTAATTCTTGATTTAAATTTTGAATCTTGAACTTCCAATTTTTTGGATTACGAGATTCTAACTTTTAATTCCAAGAACTTGAAGCGTCACACCTCCAAATCTTCCATGATATTCTCCAAAGTCAAGATTACACCGGTGGTGAACACCTTTTAATTAAATAAAGAAATTTCTTGGATTGAACAATTAAATGTGTTTATCCCTCCAATGATTCTTGATTCTTTTATTTAGTGGAGATTAAAATCATATTTTTAGTAAATGTTGATAAAAGTTGATGAAATGTGTGGTTAAAAATTGTGGATCCCATGAAATAGATGGTTAAAATTAATTAGTGAGATAGCTTCCTTAAATTCATAGAAGATGTGTTAGGAATGATTATTTACTAGAATCTTGATGTTTCGTGTTTAAATGTTAGCTTTATTAAGAGTAATAGATCAAGAGAATATTATTGTCACCATTTTCAATACTAGTTTTTACCTTACAGTGTCATTTTTCCAATATTATTGAATAGCATGGCAGCTACCACTTCTCAATATTGAGTCACGTGGTGAGATAGAATTCACAGGCCTTATTTAGTGGAGATTAAAATCATATTTTAGTAAATTTTGATAAATGTTTATGAAATATATGGTTGAAAATAGTGGATCCCATGAAATATATGGTTAAAATTAATTGTTGACTTTGACTTTGATTAAAATCTGAATTTTAATCCCTACCAAACATGGTATGAGTCTCTGTTTATTTTATCTAAAAATCAAAATTTTAACAAATTTGATAAGAATTAATGAAATGCAGGATTGAAAAGTTAATGAAAATTTTGAATACTATGAAATGTCTGATTAAAATTAAATTTTGAAAAAAAAATTAAAAATAAATATTATGATTATTGACATTGCGGGTGGAATATTTCTTGAGTGACCATAGGGGCAGTAAAGGGATGTACTTCTAGTGATCATAAGAGGATGGTCCATTCGATTGCGCGATATCATATTGGCCATTGGATTGTTGATTATTGATATTTAAATTGTGTAGAATCTATCCGATATGTAGTAAGTGGGTCAAGGACCCAATAAAAGTTAAATATTTCAAATAAAATTATTTTGAGTTAACTTTTATGAATATTTGAATATGATCCATTTTAGTATGGTGTTTTTGAAGAAAATGACATGGCATCATATACTCATATTATTTATACTTAAAACATGCATGATTTTTTACTTATTAGTCATTAGTTTATGTAGTTCTTGCATTGTAGGTGAGCATCAAATTTCACAGAAGACATGGCTAGCCGTGAAGCTCTTATGGGATTCTGAAGTTTGGTGTACATGAATGATGACTTGTAGGATTGTTTTGTGGGTTGTTGTTTTGATCTTATAATCTGTTGTATTATATTTTGAGAATCCCGTATTGTATATTTATGACTTTTGAAATGGTATGGTAGATAGTTTTGTAATTCTCAAAGTAAATATGTTGAAATTTGGTTATGTAATATTTGGTCGTAACATACTATATATATATATATCATAGGTGGTCAGGTGAGAATCTATAGGGACCCTATTATGAAGATGCTTATTTAGTTTTATCATGTCAAGAATAAAAATCTAGAATCATATGTCTGGGTCAAGTTATCAAATTTTATTCCAACATAGGTTAGTGTATTGTTGGTTATATGAATGGGGGTGTGACAATTGGTGCACCACCATTCCAAATAATTAAAATTCAAAAATACAAAAAGTCACGTCGTGAGATAGAATTCAGGCCTTATTTGGTGGAGATTAAAATCATATTTTTAGTAAATTTTAATAAAAGTTGATGAAATGTATGATTGGAAGTTGTGGATCCCATAAAATATATGGTTAAAATTAATTGTTGACTTTAACTTAAATTAAAATCTGAATTTTAATCCCTACCAAACATGGGATATATCTTTGTTTATTTTAGCTAAAAATCAAAATTTTAATAGTTTTGACAAGAATTAATGAAATGCGTGATTGAAAAGTTAATAAAAATTCTGAATACTATAAAATGTGTGATTAAAATGAATTTCGAAAGAACATAAATTTTAAAAAGAGAAAATTTCACAAAACGTCCATTTTTAACTAGTCATTTGCAAAAACGTCCACCATTTTTGAGAGAATTTAGACCAAAATACATTTATTAACAATTTATAATTCCACACTAAGACAAAAAAAAAAAATGGACTTTTTGCAATATTATTATTGACCAATAAAATTTTGATACATAACCTACCATATTTATTTCAAAAAGTATATATGTCAAATCACAATAAATGCTATGTTTTTTATTGATTCAGAAATGTCGAGAACGACATTTTTAAATGTAGAAAAATATCATGTTCAAAATGAAATGTCATTCTAGATAAATGAAACGTTGTTCAAATATCGAGAATGACATATGAAATGTTGAGAAACATTATTTTAATGTAACTTTCCATGGAAGCCACTTTTCAAAATTCTTGACAAATTGATAAAAAATCAAATATCGAGAACAACATTTAAAATGTCGAGAATACCATTTCAAAATATAGCTTTCCATTAAGAGAATAATAGATAAGTTGACACTAAATTCAAATGAGTGAATACTTTTCAACTTATACTCTTAAAATTGGACATTTTAAAAAAATGCCCCTTTTAAAAAATGGGATCAACATGCAGTAATCATGTAAACGAAACGCTCATGTTGTACAAATACCAAGCTTACAGTACGGCCTGGGCGAAAGTTTGCAGTTCATCCACATGAAAAAGCTGCGATGGCTGTTGGAGAAACTCCTCCTCCAACAAAATTGGAGGGAGGCAACCAGCGTGCTTAGTGTGCTACTCAAAGGAACTGCCGACGACAAGTCTTTATCTCATAACCGCACCAAGTACTCGGTATATCTTCCTTTTTGCAAGAATTCAATTTTTGAGTATTGGGCGTCACCAAAGTAAATTTTCTTTCTATTTTCTACCTAAGATTTTAATATCTTGAACTTGATTTTGGTCCTGTGCTATGACGGATGAGATTGAAGAACATAATTTTGGGCGATTCCAATGCTAACATTTTTGCCACAAAGGAATTATGTCAATGTTGAGATGCTCCAATTCATACTGAGACTAGAACGGATTGTTCAACTATTTTTATGAGAAAAATTTTAAATATCCATTCTCCTCTTTGGATATGTTGAAGTATTTAGCACACAAGGATGCATAATCTCTCCGCATACAATATGGCGAGAGTTAGCTGATACTTTGTTGTATTTATATGCTTACTGATTGATTTCTCTCTTTAGAGTTTTGGAAATCTTTTATCCATATGTAATTACCCTTTGGCTCATTCATATCATCCTTCATACACAATGTCATTTGGCTTCTGGTTGTGTTCCTCCAAATTATATGTGGATGTTCAACTCTTTTTGGATATCAGTAGTATATGTTTGCGGAATGCATACTTATCATTATTTGCAGGCTACTCTAGAGATTCTTAACTATGTAAGAGGTGAAACTGTCAGCCCAAGAAAACTCCAAAATGCCTATGAACTGTGGATGCAAAAGATTGGGCATCTGAAAAATTGGCCGACAAGTGTACGTTATAGAAAAATTATTTCTTGAAAGATTAATAAAAGTTTGTTTTCCATAAAATAATTGATAATAAATCTCTTCTTCTATTCGTGTAATACTAAGATTTAGATTTCATAAACGTTGTTTTTTGTTGCTTTGTTCTTTGTATGTTTTTAATGATGTAATTATTTTGATGAAAGGAGAAAGGCATTTTTTCTACCTTGGTAGATAGGCGATTCAATCCTAATCTCTGTTCATGTCAATCACAAAAGGATTGTTATTTCTTTTTTGTAAATTCTAATTTGCAAATTCAATTAATTGCAATTCTGAAATTCTGAATGCTGTACAGGATAGGTTTACTGTCCAATTGGAATTTATTCTTTTCTGTCTCACACATGGAATGACTAAGGATGCGCATATGGCTGCTCTATGGTATTTTCTTGGTTCTACTACATTTTAGTTGAGTTTTTATAAGATTCTATACATCTCTGATCTGAAGTAATTTAATGCATTATTCATTAACTAGTGTCCATTTAGAAGTATTGGAATGAGCATGTGTTACTCTATAATACACTTAGGTGAATTCAAGAAAACTCTAATCTCGACTGGTCTTGGATGAGCACTGCAAAATGTGAAATAAATGGCTGTAACCAGTACTTTTTTAGATATTATAGTCTTTTTTGTGGTTTTGAGATCTCAAAAAGTGCAAGTCTGTGGAAGGAGACAAACATTGTTGAGTGGGCCGAACCACTAATTTACAAGTTTATTGGACTCTTAGGTGAGTTCTTGAGATATCAAAATGAAGTTTCTGTTGCTAGCATGTTTCCAGTAACATCTGTTTAATATGATATTTTTCAATTAAACTTGTGAAATAATGAAATTTAATTATTGTGGTTGTGATGGTGGAAAGCCAGTCAATAAATATTTTTATCGACTAATGAATATCAGTCTTATGTAGGAGCGTCGTTTTGAGAGTGACCCAGTCTCAAACTTGGTTGTTGGCTTGACATTTTTCCATCTCTGGTATTCTGGACTTCCAAAAGAGCTACAGTGGACAGAGTTGGACACATTTGATGAGTCCAAGCAATCGGAAATGCCTGCAGATGGAATTTACAAGGGGTATGATGCTTTCAAAGCTGAAGGAGCCAAATCCTCTTTATAGTGTTATTTGAACACCTCTTTCGCCTATGACAAAGAAGTGTTAGGAGAGGATGATAACCACCCGAAAGATTCCACGGATTTTCATTCTAATAAACTGAAAGAATCTGCTCGCCGTCATTTTCAGCCACTAGATTTCGACGTGAATTCTGCCGAGGAAAGTGGACATGAAAAATATTTCTTCTCTAATAGTAGTGGTGATCTGCCTCATGTGTCTATCTTTGACACTCATGGTGAGTTTTAGAGCTTGTTGTCACGGACTTGCTAATTTCCTTCAAGAACCGTGCGGCCTTAGTGTCTTCAACTTCCGCCCCCGCGGTTATTACACTAAGTCAGCCTCCCGACTGGCGTTGATGTCTTAGAAAGGCACTAAGTAGAACACTTTAAGAAAGGGACAAAGAAGGAACACAAGAGATTACAAAGAATGCTTTGTATTGAAATAAGGAATGCTCTTTACAACTTCACTCTCTTGATCCTTCAAATGAATCCTACCAAGCTATTTATAGTGGTAGCCTCCTCAAATGGATGGCTAGGATCTTTTCTATCCAACGGTCTAAATTACACCTCTAGAATTATCTATACAAATATCTACATCAAAATATCTATGGATTAAACTAGGATGATCTAGATTAATCCACCAAGTGAGGGGCTTGTAGTTTCTAGAATGTCCCACCATATTCTAGCAATCTTCATGCTCTTGTGGAGTCTAGAATATTCCGGTTAGCCCCAACTCGTCAACATTTTAGATTTCTCGATGATCTTGTGCCAAAATCGAGCGAGTCGTGACATTGTGCTCTCTCCCATCTTCCCTTACAACTTCTCATAGGTGTGAAGGTCCATATATTCTATGCTTCACTAATTTATTCCTGTACACAATCATGATTTTGGGGCAATTTACAGGGACATATTCAGTTCCTCTATATTTATTCCTTCCTATACCTCTTAATCTCAAAATGTATATTATTTATTTGTACATGAAAATTCTGCGTTCTAGTTTTTCATTGTTATTCAACTACAAGGACGTCTTCTAGCAAATATATCATTTGTTGCTGTATGCATTTTATGCTTGTTTATCCCGTTAGGTGGTCAACAAAAAGTACAAGTTTCTTGTCTTGTCTTGTATGCATAGGAGTAAATAAAGCAGGGCCAAAATAACAATCATAACTAATCATCCATACTATGCAAACCTCTTCATCAATAGCAGCATCTGGCTTAAATGACCACACTTAATATTTTGGATAATAATTATGATGTCCAATTGTCTAACAGTACCCAATTTTTTGATAGTATGATGTCTGAAATTATGTAAATTTATTTTTTGTATTTCTCAATATTAATTTAATTGCACAACTTTTGGGATGTGTACCTTTATGTCATGCTTCAATTACGTTCAAGAATATATTGATATGCTAATTACTGTTAGTTTCTTGGAAATTGTAGGTCTTCCTCCATGGATACTGCCTATACATTTGCCAAATTCCCGTGAAAGTTTTGAGGATTTGATGAATAAGCATAAGAAATTTCATAATAACTACTATACGAGTGCGTTGAAGCATTTGCGTGTTTCCCTTTACTCGAAAGTGCCAGTAATTGAGGCTTTTCATCCTTTAATATAGGTACTGCAGTTATAATGCTTTGTATGGCAATTGTATGTCAAATTCATCAAACGACTTATTTGTTTTGAAAATGAGTAGAATTCTGTTTTGCTTTTAAACTCCAGCTACCATTCCTTATACAGCAATATATATACCTATTATTTAAGACATTATTTAATAAATACATGTGGTCCCTTGCTAACATTTTAAGCTTTTAGATGAGATGATTAACAATAATATTAACAAGCTAAGCCGTTTACCTCCTAAACTTGATGTCAGCTATGTTAATCTTTTAAACCACTTCTTTTGTTTTAATGTTGCATTTGGATGAATTATAACCAATTGTATACATACAAGGTTATTTCTAATTCAGAAACAGTTGTACTTTTGCGTAATTATTTTTGAATTAGCAGAGTTTTCTGGTCTAGAAAGTAACAGAGCTACACACTTTTTAACCTTGCATAGTATAATTACTGGGTAGATTTTCATTAGAAAACATTGCAAAAAGAAAGTAAGCTGTGAAAGCAAAGATCAACAGTTGCAGTTATGTTTTGTCATAACAATCAGCAGCACAGCCCCTACAATTATTGATTGCGTACTTGTTTTCCAATTCAAGCAGTCAATTCTTTTTTTCTTTTTAATTACAATAGTTTCTGGATTTGTCTAAAACACAACCTTCATATTTCCATCTTTGTTATTTTGGCAGATGCTTCTTTTCGAAGATCGGGTCAATGAGGCCCTTGATGAACTTGAAAAATCATTTAAAATTTCAGATACAGTACTCCAGTTAAGGTAATGGTTTCCTTCTCCAAAATAACAATTGTGGCTGGTTAGAATGCACAACAAACTGCACTGACTAGGGACTATTTTGAAAGAAATATGCATATGTATATGTATGCAAGTGTAATTAGAATATATTGGTTTTCATTTGTTGCAGATTGAAAGCTGCTCTCTTGGAACATTTTAATGGCATATACAATGTGAAACTCTGTACACGCTTTGAGGACATCTTAAAGAAGGATCCAACATGCAGCAACTCGTTGGCTAGACTTGTTGTCATGCATCAACGAGGTCAGTTATTAGTGTTTTTTCAGACGGTTTCAAGGTGTTTATTTCATTATCTTATCACTTCTGATAAGATCAATTTTGAATAGTTCAGGCATCATTTGTTATTTATCACTTCTCATTGCTCTATATTCTTTTGCTCCTTTTTTCTATTATTATATTTTAATGTTCACTCCCCACTCCCCACTCCAACCCCACCCCCTTCCAATCATACACAGACAAACCTGCCCACCATTCTGAAATTATTTCAATATATTGGAAATTAATTTAACGGTCTGTATTGCAGATAATATAAAATAAGCTTTCGAATACTATCCGACATTTTCTGTCTATTGGTGCCCTTGTGTTGAATGTTTAATTTTGGTTTCAATGTTAATGAAATAATAGATTAGAGGAATTTTCATTTATATGGAATTATTCTCCTGCCTTAGTTTTACGGTATATGTCTTGGTACCAGATGATTGTAGCACACATTTCTGAAACTGAATTGTATGTATAATATGTTGTTTGTATACTCAATGGCAGGGGATTACAACACTGAAAAACTTGCAGAAATGATAGCCTTACACTTAGATGCTACATATGCAAAATCTGACACGTGGAAGGAATTAGCATCTTGCTTCTTGAGACTTCGTCTGTGTGGAGATGATAGAATGTCGTGTTCTAATGGAAAAGATGGGCACAATCAAGCTTCCTTCTGTCATTCTAACCAGATTCTTGATATATCTACTAACAGTGCATCTGGGAAAAACTGGAGGCTCCGTTGCAGATGGTGGCTTAATCGCCATTTCAGCCACAGCATTCTCCTGTCGGATATTGCTACTGGTAATCATGTTTCCTATATAGTTCATTTCTAGTAGTTTCTATTCTATTGCTAGGTAAAGGCCATCTCCAAGTTTTGCTACTTGTGGGAGCCTTAGCACACCGTTAAATTTTTGTCATTTTATGTGGAAGTAGATCACCCAATTAGCAATTAAACGTTTTTAAGTTTAAATGTTTCATTTGACTAAGCATACTGTTAACAAAGTCGAATATTCTGACAGGAACCTGAGATAATCTCGCTTCACCAAACAGAATCTATAGTAATTGGCGGACTAAAATAGAATTTTAATATTTCATTACTGAACTTCGATTACAAGAAATAGGTCTGCTATAAGAAAATAGATTTGAAATGCCAAATAATACTCTCCCAATGACTACCAAATTCTGCCTGCTCAGCTGCAATTCCATCCCCTTATTTATAGGTTCTGCTTCTAGACTGTTCCTCCACCCAACTATGTAACCTTGCATGTGGCCTCCTCTCCTCTTGCATTTCCTTTTTCTACCCTTGCACCTTTGATAGGTAATCTGTGTTGCAGGTCTAATATATTCACAATAGTGGCTAAATTTAAGGTGGAAACATAAATTTTTTTCATATGGAAATGCGTTGATTTTATATTTGTTTCTAATTTTCTAGTTTCTTATGGCTACAGGTGATTTGGAGCTTTTAACTTACAAAGCTGCAACAGCTTCACATCTCTACGGACGGGAGTTTAAATTTGTTATTAAGGCTGCTGAGTATCTGGAGAAGGAAAATATTATGGAACTCTATTCTTGCCTGCATATGCACATTATGAATTCTGTTGGTTTTTATTTCAATATGAAGAGAGATAATTCCTAGTAAGAAAGTTTACTCTCTGTTTCGACCGTTGCTTGTAACTTGTATTTTGGTGGAGGTCAAGTTCCCATGGAATCATTGTACAAGTTTCTTTGGGACATCAGAGGACTAGAAGCCTAAGTTTTTGTTAATGTTAGCTCGAAAACCTGCGCGAAAGTACTTTTGAATGTGTATTTTATACTTGCAGTCAAGCAGGCTTTATTTTATTTTATTTTGTTTTTTTTTTTTACTATTTTTTCTGTTTGAATATTTATCTTTTCATGCTTATCTATGGGTCTCATGTTATTATACTTTAACATAAACTGTTATATAACAACTATTGATTTGGCATTTACTGTACAGAAATAGAGTGGATCAACAAAGATAATACCTGGCTTGCTGAGTTCCAAGAATAAGTATCAACAGGTAATGAAGTTGCAGTGAAAAGTCTGTATTGGATGGAAATTCTCTTCAACGACCAAGTGATGTTTGTTTTTTGGTTAGTTAGTAACTTTGTTTTGGGTTCAAAAATAGTTCCTCACAACAAGGACCTTCTGGTCTTCTGACATTAAAATAATATTTCTCTGTGTTCTAGAAAAATACAGAAATTTCTGCTAAAAATATTATGCAATTGCAGCTAATATAAAATAAGCTTTCAAATGCCATCCGACATTTTCTGTCTATTGGTGCCCTTATGTTGAATGTTTAATTTTGGTTTTAATGTTAATGAAATAATAGATTAGAGGAATTTGCATTTATATGGAATTCTTCTCTTCTACCTTAGTTTTACGATATGTGTCTTGGTACCAGATGATTGTAGCCCACATTTCTGAAATTAAATTGTATGTATAATATGTTGTTTGTATACTCAATGGCAGGGGATTACAACACTAAAAAATTGGCAGAAATGATAGCCTTACACTTGGATGCTACATATGCAAAATCTGACACGTGGAAGGAATTAGCATCTTGCTTCTTGAGACTTCGTCTATGTGGAGATGATAGAATGTCGTGTTCTAATGGAAAAGATGGGCACAATCAAGCTTCCTTCTGTCATTGTAACCAGATTCTGGATATATCTACTAACAGTGAGTCTGGGAAAAACTGGAGGCTCCGTTGCAGATGGTGGCTTAATCACCATTTCAGCCACAGCATTCTCTTGTTGGATATTGCAAGTTTTGCAACTGGTAATCATGTTTCCTATGTAGTTCGTTTCTACTAGTGTATGTTCTATTACTCGGTAAAGGCCATCACCAAGTTTTGCTACTTGTCGGAGCCTTAGCACACCGTTAAATTTTTGTCATTTTAGGTGGAAGAATATCACCCAATTAGCAATTAAATGGTTTTAAGTTTTAATGTTTCATTTGACTTAGCATATTGTTAAGTGTTAACATAGTCGAATATTCTAAGAGGAACCTGAGATAATCTCGCTTCACCAAACAGACTCTATAGTAATTGGTGGACTAAAACAGAATTTTAATATTTCATTACTGAACTTCGATTACAAGAAATAGGTCTGCTATAAGAAAACAGATTTGAAATGCCAAATAATACTCTCCCAGTGACTATCAAATTCTGCCTGCTCAGCTACAATTCCATCCCCTTATTTATAGGTTCTGCTTCTAGTGACTATCAAGTTCTGCCTGCTCAGCTACAATTCCATCCCCTTATTTATAGGTTCTGCTTCTAGTGACTATCAAGTTCTGCCTGCTCAGCTACAATTCCATCCCCTTATTTATAGGTTCTGCTTCTAGACTATTCCTCCAACCAATTATGTAACTTTGCATGTGGCCTCCTCTCCTCTTGCATTTCCTTTTTCTACCCTTGCGCCTTTGATAGGTAATATGTGTTTTAGGTCTAATATATTCACATTAGTGGCTAAATTTAAGGTGGAAACATAAGTTCTTATCATATGGAAATGCGTTGATCTTATATTTGTTTCTAATTTTCTGGTTTCTTATGGCTACAGGTGATTTGGAGCTTTTAACTTACAAAGCTGCAACAGCTTCACATCTCTATGGATGGGAGTTTAAATTTGTTATTAAGGCTATTGAGTATCTGGAGAAGGAAAATATTATGGAACTGTATTCTTACCTGCAGATGCACATTATGAATTCTATTGGTTTTTATTTCAATATGAAGAGAGATAATCCCTAGTAAGAAAGTTTGCTCTCTGTGTCGACCGTCGCTGGTAACTTGTAATTTGGTGGAGGTCAAGTTCCCATGGAATCATTGTACAGGTTTCTTTGGGACATCAGAGGAGTAGAAGCCTAAGTTTTTGTTAATGTTAGCTCCAAAACATGCACGAAAGGACTTTTGAATTTGTATTTTATACTTGCAGTCAAGCAGGCTTTATTTTATTTTATTTTGTATTTTTACTATTTTTTTCTGTTTGAATATTTATCTTTTCATGTTTATCTATTGGTGTCATGTTATTATACTTTAACATAATAGAGTGGATCAACAAAGACAATACCTGGCTTGCTGAGTTCCAAGAATCAGTATCAACAGGTAATGAAGTTGTAGTAAAAGAAGGGTTTTGCTTTCAGAAGTTGATGTTTGTGTGCTTGTAATGTGGCTACTGTAATCTCCCAAAAAAAAACTAATTTTTCAATTATTGACATTTTTTAATGATTTGACTGTATTTTGTTTGCACGGTTACAAAACCTTATATTGGAAATTAAAACGAAAATATTAAATTAAATATTATGCATTCTCAATAGTTCAAAAATTTAACATTGTAAATGCAAGCTTGGAATACCATTGGATCGAGATAGGATGGACCCACTCAAATCAAACAGTCTCAAGTCTTTGACACTGAAAAAGGTCCACATAATACGAATTTTTTAATCGTACTTCCATTTCCCCAATTCTCAAAACTCTACGTACTGTTGCAATACCAATTTCCAATCACGATATTTTGAAAGAAGAAGAAGAACAGATTGAAGAAGCAAATTTTTGTAATCCATCTCTCTCAATCTTATTGTAAATGTAATTTATACTTATATAATTTCATCACATCCCAAAATCAAATCATATAGATATCAAGCTTGGAAATTTCAGGCGAAACTAAGCCGTAAAGAGCCAAGTTCAATGCATTAAGCGAGGTCACTTGTCCTTGGAAGCATTTGACTCTAGCCCATGAATAGAATCAATCGATTGAGTTTGGATTAGAAAAATTCTAAGTAGACTCAAATTGAAACCTTTGTTCAAGGGAAATCAAGGCACGAAAATCAAAAATGACAAGAGGAAGAAAAACAAGTACCCACAAGTGAGAAGAATGTTAGTGTTAAAAGAAAGAAGGTTACCATATTTTGTAGGAAATATTTCATCGAAAGCAAGTTTGGAAGTAGTGGAAGAACAAACAGAGGATTTCAAGAGACTAGTTGGTTTTGAGTTTCCCTGAAAAGGACTGAAAAATTCAATTATGTATTGGCTTAAAGAATCAATTATCTTGTGATAAACTGAGAATTCATTTCTAAAAATCTGCATTTATAATTTTGATTTTTAGTTTAGTTTGTCTTAAAATATTTGCTATTTGCAATCTCAATTCTTGATGTTCATCTCTTAACTTTCTGTTTCACTGATGGTATAGTTATGCAGGCTTTGTTTGATTTATAGGAAGATATGTTGAGATATTTTAAATGAATATCTCAAATTTCTATTGAAGAAAATGTTGAGGCTAAGAAGTCATGCATTAAGGAAATTTCTATTAACAAAAATGTTGAGGTAAAGGAAGCAAGTGTTAAGGATGCTACTGCTTGAGAAAATGATGAAGCGAAGGAAGCAAGTATTGATGAAACTGATTTTCAAGAAAATGATAAGGTAAAGAAAGAAAGTATTGAGCATATTGATGTTGCACAACTTCCTACGGATCTCGGATTAAGAAATCCAATAATGATTAAAATGTTAATCATCAAGATCAGATAACAAGAGTACCTTGCGGAGAGGTTCACATCAGCCTCGGATTCTTGTGTTTTAACGTAAAAAATCAAGGCGATTCATTCCTGCTCTATTCAATGAATATGATGATTTGTAGTAATATAGTATAAGTAAAAATGCCACATATGCTTATACTGGTATCTTTCGGACCAAACAATGGGGAACAAGGAGGTGGTGATGCTTTTACAAAAGAAGGGTTCCGTAATTTTAAAAAGCAGGATAGTCTTGGAGCTCATGTTGGAGACATCCATAGTGCAAACAATCAAGCCCGAAGCAATTGTGAAGCCCTGATGAATCAAGAACAACATATTGAGACAGTTTTCTTCAAGTAGTCAAAACAGGCACAGAGTTCATATCGAATATGTTTGGATGCATCAATTGATTTTGTTCGACTTATTTTACAGCAAGGACTTGCTTCGTGATCATGATGAGTGTGAAGAGTCAAATAATCAAGGTAATTTTCTTGAATAGTTGAAGTTTCTAACTAATCATAATGAAGGGATAAAAGTTGCCACTTTGAAAAATGCTCCAAAAAATCAAAACTAACAAAAATTATGAAAGATATTGTAAGTATTGCAGCTATTGAAACAATTGATGTTACCATCAAAGATATTTCTGATACATTCTTTTCAATTCTAGTTGATGAATCTCAAGATATCTCAATGATGGAGCAAATGTCTATTGTTTTATGTTATGTGGAAAAGACGGGCATCTAGTTGAACATTTTATTGGGATTTAACACGTTTCTAGTACTACATCTCTATCACTTAAGGAGGTTATAGATAAATTAATTTCAAATATTGATTGAGTACATCTTGATTGCGAGGTCAAGTTTATGATGGGGTAAGTAATATGCAAGGTTTGTCTAAGGGTCTCGAAAGGACTTATTTTGAAAGAGATTCCAAGTGCCTTTCTATGTTCATTATTTTTCTCATCAATTTCAATTGGCCCTTGTAGCCATAGCAAAGAAGCACAAGAAAGTCCAATCACTCTTTAATTTGGTTTCTAGTGTGGTGAATATTGTTGGATTTCCTTCTAAATATTGTGATATTTTTTGAGACCAACAAGAAGCCATATTTCTGAAGCACTCATTAAGAGTGATGTTTCAAGTTGACAGTGTCTTAATCAACAAAGTAATATTGCACTTTTTGGTGATAAACATTGGAATCACATCATCGTACCTTGATTAGTTTGATTTTGATGTTCTCACATATAATTGACTCCATTGAAATGATTTTTGCTGATGGATCAACAGTGAACAAATATGTGAGGCTGATAATTTATTGGACTCGATGTAATCATTTGAGTTTGTGTTTAATCTACATCTCATGATAACCATCTAGGGATTTCAAATGAATTATCTAAGGCATTACAAGGAAAAGATCAAGATATTATAAATGCCATGAGTTTAGTGATAGTATGCAAAACAAAGACTCCAAGAGATGAGCAACAATAAGTGGGAATCCTTTCTTGGATGAAATCATTTCTTTTTGTCAAAAGCATAATATTGATGTTCCTAATATGGATAATGTGTGCCTAGGTCGCTTATGACATATTGAAGAAGTTACAAATTTTCATCGTTTCAGTGTGGCTTTATCCTATTCTATCCTTGAAAGGTAATTTCAAGAGTTGAATTATCGTTTTTCTAACCTAAGTACAAAGTTACTTCTTCGTTAGCATGTTTATGCTGCGATGATTCATTCTCTACTTTTGAACAAGATATAGGTTTTCTGGAATGTAGGCACTACCATTATCGATGATTAGATCCAGTTTCTACACATCAGAGTTAAGGACCTTAGATTTGCACGATCAATTTACTTGACACCTGTATATGCTGGCTGTGAGGCCTCAGTTAGAAGGGACTTGTGGGCTGGTATTCACCACATTCCCCTTTCCTTGGATGACCCTTGGTCAGTTGGGAAAGAATTTAATGTTATTGCACATGATTACGAGTGTACTGGTCACAGTAGGTGAGATTGTAGCTCTAATACTTTTTCAGACACGATGTTGGACTGTAGTTTGGATGATGCTAGGTTTTCTAGGTCTTAGTACACTTGGACAAATGGTCAGGTTAGTAAGCACCTGGATAGAGTTTTGATTAACGCTACAACTATAGATTTCTATCAACAGCTTGTTGTTACGCATCTGAATCGGACTTTATCTGATCACTCGCTTTTATTGCTACACTAGATTAATGGTGATGATTTGGATACTAGGCTGTTTTGATTCCTTAATGTATGGACCAAGCACCATGATTTCTTAGCTTTTATAGCTTGGAAGTGGTCACTCTCTACTCAGCTTATGGGGATGGTTGCTCTTTAGGAGAAGCTCTTCAGGCTAAAGCAGGGCTATGTTGGTAGAATTGATGAGCATTCGATGATGTATTTTAGTGGGTGAGGATGCTAAGGTGAGGATTGACAAGGTAGACATTGACTTTGAGAATGATCCCACACCGAACCACCGTGATTTGCTACATCATGCATAGGTTGATTTGAACTAGACCTTAGCTATTGAGGAGGGTTTTTGGAAGTAAAAGGTTGGGTCTTGATGGGTATGTGAGGAGGACCATAATACCCAATTTTTCCATGGGATGGTTCAATGATGTCGGATTAGATCTTGTATCAGGAATATTACAACTCAGGCAGAGGAAGATCTCTCTGCACATGTGGACATTTAGAGCTTGATGATCTTCTTGTTTAGGATTTATTATCTGCTCCATCACAACCTTTGGATCCCATACATCTTAGCATTATACTAGGTTACTGATAGAGTGAGACAATTTTGCAGTGAATCGCATATCGTCGATTAATGAAGTACAGGAGGTGATTTTCAGTATTGATGCTAACAGTGTTGTGGGCTTGACGGATTATCTTTCTTATTCTACTAGCATTGTTGGGATATTATAAAAGGATGATTTATATGGTACAGTATTGACTTATTTGAGGGTGGTCATCTGTCACGAGGTTTTAAGGATGTCTTGATTGTCTTACTCTCGAAAAGGGAAAATGCTTGTAGATGGACAGATTATCGATCTATCATCTTGTGTATGGTATTTAATAAGCTTATCACTAAGCGGTTGAACACCATATTGCATTTATTGCTGCCTCATATCATTTTTCCTCAATAGAGTAGCTTTGTCCCCGATCGCCTTATTTGGGACAATGTTTTGTTGACTCAAGAGATCCTATATACATTGGATGCTAGAGTGCATGTGGAAATACCATGCTGAAGTTAGATGTGGCAAAAGTATATGATCATATAGACTGGAGATTCATTTACTCGGTACAGGATGCATTTGGTTTCGACCAGCTATAGATCAATAGGATTAAATAGTTATCTCGAAGTGTCAATTTTGAGTGCTCCTAAATGGTAGTCCATATGGCTTTTTCCCATCCTCATGTAGGCTCAGACAGGAAAATCCTA